TTAGTTTCATTACCAGGAATAAAATTAAACGTGAAACCTCCTCCGCCTCCAGCAAAAAAAGCTGCAGCACCTCGTAAACAATCAAAACAAAGATCCAAATCTTCAAGAATGTCAAAGATGTCACGAAAACGTAATTTAAGCGCTATGTCTGCAGCCTCCGACGAACCTCCCCCGCCTCCGCCACCCCCAATAAAGCGTCATATTCTTACGATGCGAGCTTCAATGATACCAAAAAGTGGAGTTATTGATCTCGATAAACGTGACTTTTTAGATTTTTTAAACGACCAAGAAGAAGAAATTGAAATCAAAATAATTGAAGAAGAATCTGTTGAAGATGATAGTACTGATAATAAATCAAGAAAAAAGAGTAAATCAAAATTAAGCTCTAAATCGAAAGCTAGTTCCAGATTAAAAACCAGTTCTAAGTCCAAAGCAAAATCTTCATCAAAGAAATAACATATTATATTCTTTTTATTTATATTCAATTATAATTTTACCCACAATATTAGTATATATTCTGAATAAAAAATATCGGATTGAATTTCGTATTCTGCTTTTTCAACATGCAGATTCGATTGATTTTTATTCTTTGTTTTTTTTTAAACGTTCGAAAATTTTATAATCTTTCAAAATTTCTAATGAAAATTAGAGCTCAATTTATTAATCCGAACTTTTATTGTAGCTTTAATAGCTTGACTCAATGCCTTTATAACATTTTACCTTTTCGAAATTTACTTTTGGAAAGCGATTTGACTGATATTAAACAACAACCTTTTATATTCTTTGATCCCGAAATTGGAAACGTGGAAAATAGACAAAAAGAAAGCGAAAAAATTGAACAAAAAATTAATTTTTCAAAGTCAGCACTTCAGTTTTCTATTAATTATCAACAAATATTTATTCAAATGGTAGATCCATCAAAAAGATTGGATTTGACAAACTGTATTGAATATTTAGTCGATACAGTCGGACACAAAGTTTTTAAAAATTCTCCGGGTGATCCTTTTGTTGAATTTTTAACAGTGATTTCGCTTCTTTCAGATTCTAATAGAGCTTTTTATTTAAATTTACTTAAACCTTATACAAATAAATACATTCAATTGTTTTCATTTGGCACGAGTAATAATTTTAAAGACTTCAATTGTTCAATTTATCTTGCACCACCTCCAACATTTTCCATTTTTTATTTTCCAATTGACAGCTACTTTTATAATTTCAAAGCAAAACATAACAAACCAAATGCGGTGGTTTTACATTCACTCCCAGATATTTTGGTGGTTCATTTTGATTACATCGATCCAATCAAACCAAAACATATTCAATCAATATTAGATTTTACAGGCTATGTTTTAGATCATACAAAATCAGCGATTTTTCGGATTAATAGCTTTGTTATGATGCTGAATCATCAGCATGCAATCAGTTATGTCAGAATGATGGACAATAACATTGATACTGAACGTGAAAAATGGCTTATTTGCAACGATCTACAACAAAAATTAATTGGCAAAGATGAATTAAATCGTGATTTAGAATTTTATAGTCAAAATAAACAAGCTATTGTTGGATTTTATGAACGAAAGAGCTGTTAAAAATACTGTATTTAACTTGTTTTTATATTAATATGATTTATAATAAAAAAGGCTAAAATTATAATCTTTTATTCATTTAAAATTTTTCAATATAATATTTTTAATCCAAAGAACAGTAAAATAATAACAAGTCGATTAGGATGCCGAATATAAATATGTTTTAAAATTACATTTGGACGATGAAAAATTGTTTAAATCATTTGAATTATCGACAAAATACTTTCTGAATTTTTACCTTCTCCCTAAGAAAATAAAAATTTTCTTATTGAAATATTTGTATATAATTTCGTATCTTGATGCATTTCACCAATCTTACTAAAATCAGCATTTATGATACCACAACATGCAAAAAACACGCATGCAAAGAACAAATTAGCAAGTAATCAACCTCTGTCTTTTCTATCACATAAAGATCAGAAAAAATCCACAGTTTCAATAAATCGAACCAATCATAATATAAATTCAATTAAAAGATACAATACTCAATCTACAGTTCAATTTGATCAATTAGGAACATTTGGGTATCTCACTGGTTTTAACTCGCTTTCTACAAATTCCGACGAAAAAAGCAAAAAGAAACTATATAAAAGAAATATTAATAAAAGCCAATTTCGAATTAACGAAAATGATAGTGCAAACACTTCTAGCTGGACCAACATTGGATATAATAATTTATTAACAGCAAATTTCAATTCAAAAATTAATAAAACCAATAAAAAATTAAAGAAACCAAATAACTCAGATAATAAAATAAAAGCAGCTGTTAAAGCATCTTCACTTCCTCGAAGTGGCAGAAATATCATTTCTATTCAAATTAATTCAAATTGGGGAAACACCTTTGATATCACAATGCATTTTATAGCACTTTATGATATTTATAACCATCAAATTAGCTCAATTAATCCAATAAACAATATCTCAAATAGTGATAATAAAGATCTCAATTTTATTTATATAGCATCTACTCCAGAACCATCTTCACTAGCTAAACTAGAATACTTGTTAGAAACCTCATATATAAAAGATGACGAGAAAGTTTTTGTTGAAAAATTTAACGATCAAAAATTCACCATATATTTATCTATTAACCAATCAATAGAAATTGGTTCAATCAGAATTTTCAACCCTCCAAATAAAAGTGAATCAGCAATTAAAGATGTTTCAATATATGTAAATGCAAAACTGTGCAATCAAAGTCAAATTCCTCAAAGTTTTGGAGCAAACTTAAAATTAAATTATCAAATACCAAATATTACGAAATTAGAAGAAAACAACGAACATTTAATTCCTAATTTTATTACTTATCAAGATAAATTTGGAATTTTGCCGATCAAACCAGTTAAGCAAGTAAAAATTGAAATCATTGAAACATATAATAGCAATTCATCTAGTACGACAAGACAAAATTACATTGGAGTCAATGGATTTGACTTTTATGACATACTTGGGAATTATATTTCTACAGAAAAGTCAAATGACAATTATATCGAAAACGTTAATATACGAGGTATATCCGAACTTATCAATTGCGGAATTCTTCTAAGACAAAATAAAGTAACATACAAAGAAGATGATATGCTTTTTGGAGTGATGGACGGAATTCAAAATCCCACCTTTATTTTTATTTTTAAAGAACCGATCTACTTATCAAAGATTGTTGTTTGGAACTACAATGGCCATGGAAACAACTTAGATTGCGGAATTAAAAAGCTCAAATTATTTGGTGATGAAAAATTAATTTGGTATGGCAAAATAAATCGAGGAAATGGAAAACTGAGAAATATGATGAAAAATACTCACTCAATCAATTTTTTTGACCAAGTTCAGGACGTCGTTAGTGCTAAAATTTGATCAAAATCTATTTTTAATTTGCACTGAACTTTAATTTTTTTGCATTTGAGATTATAATGCTTACCTTTGTTCAAAAAATATGACAGGTATCGTTTCATTTTTCTTCTATTATTGATATTCGATTTTATAAAAAATTATGGTTAAATAGGCTTTAAATATCAAAATCTATTTATTTCTATAAATAATCCTGTCCATTTTGGATTTTATCGTAGGATAACCGTAATCCTGGATGGAAAAAAAATCCAGCTTGGATTTTTCATTTTTTCATATAATAAATCAAAAGTTTTAATAAATGGATTTTTATTCTCAAAAAGTTAATAATGTAAACTATAGAATGGATTTTTTTTGAATACTGTAAACCATTGAATGGATTTTTTTCTGAGAAAATCCAAAATAAACCATTGAATGGATATATAAAAAATCCATTCTATAGTTTACATTAATATTTATGGATTTTTTGTAATTTCTGCCATTTCCTTTATTTTGCATCAAAGAAAATTAAAAAACCCAATGCAAAACTAATTTAATTAACAGCAAATGCACAAAAATATGCAAAAATAAAGAATTTATTGGTTTTTTTTAATAATTCTATATAGACAAATAGTAATTCAAAATAAAACCGTTATCCAAAATTTAAAAAAAAAAAATCCAAAAAACGGTTAAAATATCCAATTTGGACACCCTTACTATAAATATAATGCATTGTTTATTATTTATTTCACATGTAATAAATTCTTTTATGAGATAGTTTAAAATCATATTGAAAATAGATTTCGATTTAATTTATTTTATTCATTCAAAAAGATTGAGTTTTTTTTCAGAATAAATTCAATACTTTTTCAATTAGAAAATTTTAGCTTTATTGTATTGAGAAATTATGAATGAGGAACCAGAAGATCCGGAAAGTTTCACTATTCCTCATCATTACGAACCAAGAATCACGCACGAAACTTTTTGTAAGCTTTTTGATGATCACTCTAGATATGAAAATTTTACCATTGTTGATTGCAGAAGCGTTCCTGAATATGAAGGAGGACACATCAAAGGATCTATACAATGGCATCCAAACGAAAAAGCGTCAAAAGTAGAGGAACTTCATAAGAAAATTTTTAAACCAAGATCAATATATATCTTTCATTGCGAGTATTCCGAATACCGAGGTCCAATGGCATGGGAAAAATTTAGACGTGCACATGTTTTTTCTTCTAATCGCTCAGAACCTCTTCATGCATTTGTCCTTGAAGGAGGTTTTAGCAAATTTTATGAATTACATCCAGACTATTGCGACGGCACATATGTCCCTGAAAAAACAGTTGCAAGACCTAGAGCATAAAATATTCTATCAATAAAACTAAAACAAAAAATGTATTATAAATAAACTAAAAATAAAAAGAGATTTTTAAATAAAATCTTTCATTCTTTCGATTTCATTAAAATTTAATCAACAAATTCTTGAAAATAAATCATTTCAGGAGTTCAATTCCATTGATCTAAATTTGAAAAATAATTAAAATGACAATATTTTTATTAATTAGATACAATAATATTTCATCAGAAGCCTGCGTAGCATAGTGGTTTTATTGCGTTCGCCCCGTAAGCGAAAGGTCGGCGGTTCAATTCCGCTCGTTGGCATTTTTTTGGTTTTTATTTATTTATTTTATGAATTAACACTGCTGTCTGGCAGATACATTTAACTCATAATGTATTCTAGAATATATTTTAGCTATTCTTATTACTTTGAACAAATAAAAACGAGTGATATCCACTATTTTTTGGATATTGAAATTATAATCAGATTTATTTTGAATAATTGTATAGAAATGAGGGGTCATTTTAATTAAACAAATTCATTATAAAATACTGATCAACAATGCTGTTTGAATATTGAAATAATAAAACTTTCTTATTCACAAAAAAAATATTTGACCATAATTAACCATACCGATCAAGCAATAGCTTTAGAAAAAAAAAAAATGATCGAAAGACTGAATGAATTAGAAAGGTTTTTTGAAAATAGTCTAAGTCAAAAAAGTAATGATAATTTATATGACCAGCTATTAGTCAAGTTCAACTTGTTTTATTTTGATCAAGACATTTATCAAAAAATTAATATTTACCAAAATAAAATAAAAATCATAGTAATTGATGAATATTTAGCCATAAACAATATTACGAAAACCGAAACGAAATATTTTATAATTTGTTTTGATCATTTAATAATTGCTATTGAACAATCCAAAATAATTCAAATAAAACCATATTTTGTACAAAATAATGACTCAAATATTTATTTTTTATCACAGAATACAGAAAATAACATTAACCAATCCTTAAAAATACCAACTTTATCTTTTCCAAATGATAATAAAACTTTTTTCATTAGAAAACAAATTCCGAATTTTGTTTCACGCTTTACAGAGAATGCAATAAAAGTTAGTAATTTTAGAAAAGTTATTTATAAAGTTATTTCAGGATTTTTGATTCAAAAAAGTTATTCATTATACAATTTTAAACGTACTTTAAATCCTCACAAAAAGTGGACAAATTATTCAGAAAAAGAAATTCATGATTCAAATGATTATATTTTATTGAACACAATGTATATTGGAATTTCAGTTATTGATTTGATGTATTCAATTCGTGATGAAAGGCTTGTTATTTCAAAATATTCAACAACAAATCAAACAAATTTGATTGAGCGAGAAAGAAACAATTATTTAAGCATCCAGCATCCATTTATACCTAGATATATAGGTTATCTAAAGGTTAAAAATGAGAATCATCTTCTGATTGAATATATCCATGGGAAATCGTTAAGTAAAATCAAAGAATTGTCACTTTCAATGAATGAAAAATTATGCATCATTTTTGAAATAATGCTCACAATTCAATACCTTCATTTCAACGAGTTTGTTTATCGAGATTTGAGACCAAATAACATCATTATTGATGATAATAAAACAGCTGTTTTAATTGATTTTGATCGTTTAATTAAATGCACTCAAAACAATCCTATTTTAATATCAACAAGAGATTTCAGTCACGTTTATATCGCACCTGAAATCGTCACAGATAAACCTTATTCTTTTCCAGCTGACATTTATTCATTAGGAATGATTATTTGTATGATCATTACGGAAAAAGATCCAAAAATAATTCAATACGAAAACAATCAAACAAATTTGTTAGATATTCCTATGAATTTCAAATCGATGTGCGAAATGTGCATTCAAAAAGATCCATACAAACGTCCGTCCATTTCAAAACTAATAAAACATTTTTTTTATATTTACATTTTGAAGATGAACAAAGAGACTAGAACATATTTTATTGATATAATGGAATACAATATAAATCATGGAAATAAAGATTTGATTGATCCACAATTTGCATATAATATTGGACTCCTTTATTTCAATGGAGAAATGATTCAAAAAGATGATCAAAAAGCAGTTAAATATTTGTCATTGGCAGCTGATAAAAATTATTTGGATGCTCAAGTTCAACTTGCTGATATTTACTATGATTCAAATAGTGTCATGTATGATGTCTATGGAGCAGTTTTTTATTATACAATTGCAGCAGAGAAAAACGTTTTGAAGGCCCAACTAATTCTGGGGAAATTTTATTGCAATCGTAGCACTGAAGGATTTAATATTTATCACTCAATTCTTCAACATGAAAGCATGACAGATATTGATAAAGCAATTTATTATTATTCACTTGCAGCTAATCAAGGAAATCAAGAAGCACAATTGCAACTTGGAAACATTTATAATGATGAACGTTACAATATGAAAGACATAAATAAAGCAATTCATTACTATTCATTTGCAGCTGATCAAAATAATTCTATTGCCCAGAATAAGCTTTGCAGAATTGGCTATGATATTATGAATTTAGTTCACGATGTCAAAAAAGCGATTCATATTTTCACTTTTCTTGCAGATAAAAATCATGTTATATCTCAGTTTATGCTTGGATACATTTATTCTAACATACAATTTGGTTTTTTAGATGTTAAAAAATCAATCCATTATTATGAACTTGCATCAAAACAAAATCATTGCGATTCACAATTAAATTTGGGTATTATTTATCAAAATTCATTATTAATTAAGCCTAATGCTGAGAAAGCAATTTATTATCTTGAACTTGCATCAAAGCACAATGATAGTAGAGCCTTTTATGATCTAGGAGTTATTTATTGTGAAGGAATTTTATGCCCAGTTAATTATGAAAAAGCTTTTTATTATTTTAAGCGATCAGCAGATTTAAATTTTCCTTTAGCACAGTATAATGTTGGTATCTTTTATCTGAACGGTCGTTATGTAAACAAAGATATTCAAAAAGGTCTATATTATATTGAGCTATCAGCCAAACAAAATGAATTGTTCTCATTGTTAACTCTGGGCAAGTATTATTTGACAAATAATATTGAGAAATCTATTTATTATTACAATCTTGCAGCCAAACAAAATAGTGAAGAAGCATTTTTAAATTTGGGAATGATTTATCATTCTGGGACACAAGTTCCCCAAGATATTCATCGAGCAATTTATTATTATAGACATATACCAAATAATGGATTTGCAGCTTATTTACTTGGATCAATATATTTTACAGGAACTGAAGGTTTTCCTCGAGATTTTAAAAAGGCAATTCATTATTTCACAATTGCATCAACCAATAAAATAAAAGAAGCAGATCATCAGTTAGGATATATTTATTTCAATGGAATTGATGTTGAAAGAGATCCTGTGAAAGGATTGAAATATTATAAACTTGCAGCCAATCTAAATTCAGTTGAAGCCCAACATAATCTTGGTGTGATTTATTTTTTAGGACAGTTTGTTCAGCAAGATTATAATAAAGCAATTTATTATTTTTCATTAGCTGCCAAAAAAAAATTTGGTTCCTCACTTTATCATCTTGCAATGATATTTTATCATGGCTATGTTCCACAAAATATAAATAAAGCACTTTATTTCTATTCTCTTGCTGCAGAAGAAAATGTTCCTGGTGCACAATTTGATTTGGGCACGATTTATTATGAAGGAAAATATGTTAAAAAAGACATTGCAAAAGCAATACATTATTATAAAGAAGCTTCATGTTACAATAATCAATTTGCAAAAAATAATCTTGGCGTAATTTATAAAATAGGTGAAGGTGTCATTCAAAATTTTTCAATGTCAATTGAATATTTTAAAGAAGCAATAAAACAAAAAAACGATGACATTTCAAGATTTAATTTGGCACATCTATATTTCTATAATGATTTTAATATTGATATCGATACTATAATAGAATTATCAGAACCTTCATTAAAATCAGATATTGATATTTGTTATTTTTTCTTTTGTTTGGTGATCTTTTCAAAAATTGGAAAGAATTCATCTTCAAAAGAGCAAATTGAAAATGAAATTAAAAAATATGATAAATTTCATTCATCTCTATCATATAAAATGTATCAATATATTGTTTCAAGTTACCTTAAAAATGAAAAAAATTATCAATTTTTATATGATACACTCAAGAATTGCAATATTGTTTACTACAAGAAAAAAAATTATATGCGAGTAAGAGTACATATAGGAAATGATGAAGATGAAGAGAGAGTAAATTCAATTTGCCTTCCATATATAAATTCCGAATTTTACAAAGGTTTTGGAGATATTATAATTTGAAATTGAGCAATATTTATATAAATTTTATCTTTATGTTTAGTAAACTGTCTTTTTCTTTTTCAAAATTGAAATATTATATAATTATAAAATAAATAACTTGTAAGGGCAACAGCCTTTTTCGTTGAAATTAACATTCCCAGCTTTAAAAAGTAGACTTATTAGAATTGCATTTCACGATTTCATATTGGTTTTTCCAATCACAAAAATTGAAATACAATATAATTATAAAAAAGAATAACTTGTAAGAGTAACAGCTTTTTTCGTTGAAATTAATGTTCCCAGATTAATGAAGGTTGTGAATTTAATGTAGGTCACCATCTTTTGCTGCCTTAATAAGTAAACTTGACATGCAATAAACTTTATAGAATTGCATTTCACGATTTCATATTGTATTTTCCAATCACCAAAATCTTTATTTATAACTATGTATATAAAACATATAAAATTCAATCACAAACAAGACTGCAACAAGAAATTTAAAACGATACAAAGTGAAAGATAAAACAGCCAAACTTGTCATTATTCATACAATATCAATCAAAAAAATATGCATATAATAATAATATATTGATAGAAAATGCTTATTTAATATTATTTTTTCTCCAATTATTTGCATATAAAGAGGCGACAGACGATTCTAGTTCTTTTCGCTGCTTGTAATACGATAACATTGGATACAATTTCCAATCATCTCCAACGAACTCCAACCTCAACAAAACACAATAATTCGAGTCACATTCATCATCAGAAACAAAATTCTGAAACAGCAAAGTCTCGTTTCCGTTGCAAAAATGAGAAATAGCGAACATGACAGATGGAGAAGAAATTTTGGCCGATGTTTTGCATTCAATATTAAAAATAATAATTTTATCTGTTCCAATCTTGTCCAACTCGAAATCAACGAGCGAATTGTAGCTGAATCCGTAAGAATGGTTCGACTTT